AGGAGACCTCTTCTCCACTGACTGAAATGTCTGTTCTCAGCTGAACTCTAAATCCAAATTCTCCTCCGCATCAAAACCTGAACCTTTGTTTGATTGTTCTGACTTCAAATCTGAATAACATGGAGGGAACGGTAACATGAGCAGTGTTTGAGGACAAAAAAAAAGCTTTGTGGAGGAGAACAAACTGGATTTTCCTTTTTTCTCGATGAATTAGAATTCTACCACACCAGCCTGGAAAAAAAGCTTTTTTTGTCCGGTTTTAATTCTTTTGTGTTACTAATTTGTGGAAAAAAAGAGGAGCAGTGGCGGATCAATAGACGTTAATGTATGTCAGGATTGATTAGAAAAACAAAGGTCAGAGGTCGTGTCAACACTGTGATATGATGGAAAAAAAATAATCCATTTTACAGCTTTCAGTTAGTGACTTTTTAAAGGCACAGTTGAATAGATGAGAGCGTTATGTTTGAAATAGAGAAAACTCCTTCTGGACTTTAAATGTTAGAATTTGGCAGTTGACAGCTGTTATAAATCACACTCATTATAAAAACATTTTCAAATAATATGTGATTATTGGATGTAAACAGCAGTGTCATCATAAAAGGGTAAAAAGCTTTTTTTCTCTCATTTAAAGACAAAAATCTCTGTTGACTCAAAAAAGGGAGAATGCTGATTTTTGTGTGTACAAAGTTTTTGTTTTCTGAAACAAATCTTAGACTCTTTGTTATATTGAATTAATTTTGACGAACGGGGAAAACAGCTCTCAACAGCTTCAGCAGTATTTTCTGCTCAGAAGGTCACAGGTTTCTTAACGTTATGACAACCCGTGAGTTGTGTCTGCTAAGCTAAGCTTAGTTTTTAAGTAATAACTTTTTCACAATGACTTAGTGAGAATATCAAAATTTCACAGTGATTTAAAATCAGCCAACAACAACTGCTCTGTAATCTTTATTCTTTTACTTGAGTCTTTTATAAAAACCGATATGTATGTTTACAAACCCTTGATTCAAGTTGAGCAAGTGTGGCATTTTCCTAATGTATTATTTTGAGATTTGTTTTGAATTTTGAAATATTTCAGTTGTTGAGCTTTTTCCTCTGAGACTGGTGAAAGTGTTTTGTAAACGGAAAGATTACAGTAGCTATAACCTGATCTGCAGATGCTTGGTGTTTGTTGTAAAAAGAAAACTGTTACAAATACTTTTCAATAAACTCCTTGAGTAAAAGTTTTCTTAAAATATTAGTATAAATTTAGCCTCCTATTAACATACAAGATATGAGAAGGGAAATGATTCCCTTCCTCAAGTCAAGAACACTATCTTTATTGACTGCTATTTATTAAAGTATACAATTACCAAGGCTAAGACCTAAGGCTTTGGAAAACTGAAGCAATGTAGCAGTATTAACTAAGATCTGCATACATTTACCTTCAGAAAGACACATAAAACTTTTGTTTAACATTTGTTTAAATTTAGGTTTCAAAGACAAGAGCACACTACAATTTTGATACATTGACAAAATAGAAAAAAAGACAAAAATGTGAGTTTCCCTTTTCTGAATCAGAGAAACTGCCTACATCTGCCTTTAATGTGTGCATGTGGTTTCATGTAGATCAGATTTTAACATTTCTGTGATCTGCAGAACAGTTTTCAGTTTGCCTTTGATTTTGTGTCTTTAATCCAGGCATAATGCATTGACATACAATACATATGCATTGACAATAGCTTCACTCCGCTATGTCTGCAGCACTGCCAGTGCCTATTGTGTGTGTGGCTCTGTTGGACTACTTAGTAGACTCAAACAACCTCAGCAAAAGAAGAGTGTCCAGCAAATCCCTTATTTATATGGTGTTAGCATCGATGGTGTGGACGTTTGCTGGCCTTCATTCCTTTTTTACCACCAACACTGAGCAGATGGTACTGATTTATGAGACTTCTACAGAGACGAAAAGCATTGAGTACACTTATCCGGAATAGAAAACTGAGCCCAGACCTCTGTGCCTATGTGGTTCAGTCCAACCAGTTCAATCCTGGGCTTCAGTACATTTTGGATGCCTTATCTTACTGTAACTATGATTTGTCTTTGGAATCACATTTTACTATGCATTATGCAATATGCAAGTTTATGCAGAGTATTTTTATGTACATATGTTTCTATTTATAAAATTGTTTTTTTTACCCTTACTTTGCAATGAAATGAAAATGAAGTGTAATATAATATAATATAATATAATATAATATAATATAATATAATATAATGCTTTATGTTACGTCGCCGGAAGTTGGCCGCTCGGTCTTCAGGGGCCTTCCGTACGGCTATAGGTCACATGACCCGACTTGCTTCTGCTTATGCGTTTGCGCTGAATAACTCATCCTGCGATCTGCTTGAGGGTTTGATATTATCTTGCATGAATAAAGTAGACTGAGTATACATAATAAGGTTTTTGGATTGTCTTTATCTCATTTGTTTAATACGAAGCCGCGTTCTTGGCGACTTTCGATCGCTTCTACGTGCCAGCTTGCTACACAGCTAGCTAAGTTAGCCCGCAACATCATCATTGTAAACATGAACATAGACAACGTGAATCAGTCTATAACAACTACAGGACCATCGACGACATCTTCAACCTCAAGCAATTGCATCACGAATGACACTGTATCAACCAGCGTCAGCGGCGTTCCTCCAGTTATGAGCAATGGTAATTTATTCTACTTTGGCTATTGTGCAGCTATACGCTTCATGTCATAATGTGACAGTGATTTGATATTTACAGTACATGTGTAACTTGGTTTCTTTGAAAAGTGGTCATTGCAGTCGTTTGTCTACTGTCTGCTTCAAAAAACCGACATGCATTTACGGATATACGATCGATACACATATACGTTGTAATGCAATGATCGCATTTCGTTGATGTGTTGATAATCCAATAATTGTTATCACAGCATCCACATCAGCGGCCACGGTGACACCAGCGGCAGACGCGTCTGTTTCCAATGGCGTGTACGTTCCTGGTGGCATCGCCAATGGAGACGTGAAGCCTGCTGTCTCCACAACACCATTGGCAGATTTCCTCATGCAACTTGAAGACTATACCCCAACAGTAAGTCCAATGTGTTTGGTAACCATGCTGTATGATGCAGTCATAATCTTTTACTAATATTTTTATTCTTAATACTCCCAGCTCTGTATTCAATTCTTGGAGGAATTTAAGTAAACATTTGTTTGTTTCAGATTCCTGATGCAGTTACAGGATACTACCTCAACAGAGCTGGCTTTGAGGCATCTGATCCAAGAATGTAAGTATCATAAATCTTTTCTATTTTTTTTTAATTTGCACACCTAACAGAAAATAAAACTTTTAGCTTAATAGCAAATAAACAAAGTGCATAGGGCATAAAACAAACAGTGGACATAAGCTTTATAATTGTTAAACCAGACTTTGTCAGAAACATATTGAAACAACAAGTCCACTCTTTAAATTAATGCTTCTTAATTAGCATTTAAGGCAAATTAATAGATAAATTAAAGGCTTTGTCAGTGTCTCTTTCTGTCATATCCAAAGCCGTTACATCATTTTTGAAGACATTTCCCCTTTAATTCAAGAGGCTTCTTCATTTCTCATATTTAGGATAAGATGACTTGGGTGACTGAAAAAAAGTTACACAGGTGTTGTCACAGCGTTACTATTTTTTATTCCTTTTATCCCTATAGAATACGTCTGATCTCCCTTGCCTCCCAGAAGTTCATCTCAGACATTGCCAATGATGCTCTGCAGTATTGTAAAATGAAAGGAACTGCTTCAGGAAGTTCAAGAAGTAAGACAAAGGTAAGATGATGTCTAGATTATCAAATTTTATAAATATATTAAAAAATCTGCTTTGTTAGAAAATGTGAGCAACTGTAGTCCCTGACTTTATATGAATTATTTATGATGTTTTTTTTTCCTTCATTGCTGATCAGGACAAAAAGTATACTCTGACAATGGAAGACCTGTCTCCTGCCCTCTCGGAATATGGGGTCAATGTCAAGAAACCATATTATTTCACATAGAAACTTTACAAATAGATATTTGCTTTTGCTAGATTAATACCCCTGCCAATTCACTAGCCTGTTGATAACAATAAAATCCTTATTGTTATTTTTTACTATGGAGCTTTAGTCCAGTGTTGATAAGTCTTGGTTTTCTTATTGCCCTTTTTGTTTTTAGGAAACTACATTATACTTTGTGTGAAATTGTAACAATACATTTTTGTGAAAATAAAACTCTTAAGCTGTTAAATAGAGGGTTCTTTTTTTTATCATAATTATTCTATAAAGTAAAATACATTTATTACCATTTTATTGTACAACCGATAGCATGTAAATGTACTATTTTAATAGCACACTATAATATAGATATTATATATATATGACAGACAAATAAAAAAATAGATGACAGAATTACAAGCACTTGAAATCATAATCATACAAATATTGTATATTTGGGTTTGCACTGCATTCATACTTTATTGTATACTACTAGAGTGCATCCCACAATGATGACTGAATGTTGCTGGCACAGTTAAATTTATATTGGACTGCAAATAAAAATATTTGCAGTTTAATAATTTTCAGTTTAATCCTGAATAAAAAAAATCAAAACCATATTTTATATGTACATGTAAAAGGTTACAGCATGTCATAAAAAGTATATTTTTGTCTGGAGACACTGATTGGTGAGTATTACTATCTGATTTTGCAATGTTTTGTCTTCTTTAATTTTGTATTTAAATTTGCATTTCCTATTATTATTATGGACGAAAAAGTTATTGTTAGCCAGTAGTAGAGAACTTGCACATTGGTTATACAAATTGTACATTTTATTTTCTACCTGTTTATTTATTGGAATTTTTTCTACCACGAGGTGGCGACCTATAAAAAACCCCTTTTTGCGTTTTAATCATTTTGTCCTCTGTCGCTTGCCGTGATTAGGCTCAACCCAGCTTCCGTATATCTCGAATATACATGCGCTGTGTGAACGTTTAAATCGTTCATGTGCTGTTTGTTAAGTATTGTGTTTTTTTTTTAGACTGGTACAATAAAAAGTGGTGATGTCTGTGCCTTCATCAAATCCAACCAACCCTGTGGTGTTCTTCGACGTTACAATCGGAGGACAGGTGAGTGGAGAAGATGGTTTAAAATGACTTTAGCTACAAGCTGATGTTGTATCGATCTTCTTGCATAAGTCTCACTTGGTCGCTGTTCACTCACATTCATGTTGTACAACACCAGGGAATTCTTAGTTGTTTAAAACGACGTGTTTAAGTATTGGTATGCATATTTGTGTTTGCCATTTTAAACAGCAGCTTTGTCCAAGGCAGCGGAGTTTTCACCCGTTAATTAAACAACGTGTTGGCTAAATGAAGCAGAGTGACGTCTGCTTTTAAAGGCTTCCCCCTATTGATAATATAAATACAAAAATATAAATACAAAACAACGATAATGTTCACTAATAAAAAAAAACATTAAATCACACCACCAAAAACAGTGTTTCCGCTACGATTGGTTAACCCCTCTCTGAAAAGGAGACTGAATCGGGCTACATCACACCAAATGTGTGCTATGAAAGTAAACGTAAAGAGCAGTACTTGTACAGCATGTTGTACAGTTCCTTTGTGAGTTGATCATATTTTGAAGATAAGCAATGTCAGACGTTACTGTTACTGTTTCACAATTGTATGTTGTGTTGGTGAATTTGAACTCCAAACTAAAAATGTAAACACTGTTGCTGTCGGGTTCGATGCTGTTGAGCCATGCTCTTCATATCAACATGGCATTGCGTGTCTGCCACAATTAGATACCAACAGGACGGATACATTGCTAAAAGCCCGTAAAAGGAACGTCTAGTTATTCTTTGTTATTCAGTAGTGTTAACTGTAGTAACGTCTAGTTATTCTTTGTTATTCAGTGGTGTTCAACTGTGTTTTATATTAGCTTTTGTTTCTATTGTAAGATGTTGTTAGCTTGTAAGTTGTAAGTTGTGAAAAGATCCTGTAGGTGGCAGTAATGCTACCTAAATAAACCAGAGAATAAGGTAAGCGTAAAACGCAGTGAATGGCTGGGGGGTTGGGAGTATGGTAAGATTAGTTAAACAGCAAAACTTAACCTGTAATTTTTTTCCACTAGTCAAGTATAATTGGCTGATTTCAAGTATGCCGAAATGTTTCAAGTATGTACAAGTATAGTAGAAGTCTTTCTGTCTTCCCCTAATGCTTTGAATAGTTGTTAATAATGTCTTTCCACATTATTTTCTATCTAAATTCTTACCTCATAAGAACCTTGTTTTTTTTCCTTAATAAAGGGACCCACTTTGGGTTCTAAACAAATAAGAAATGTAAACAATGCAGGAGCAATATTGTTTAAACCCCAAATTTGGTAATTCACATTTTCTGTGTTAAATCAATTAATCATGACTCTGTTTTATAAATACAAATAGAAACAAATGTACATAAAGTGGCTTTGCCTAAACTTGCATCTCTTTATGTGGAATGCATAGTAAATGTGAATGCAAAAAACGTGATTGTTTTTTTATAATAAAGTAAGCAAAGTTTATAAAGCAATTTTGATAGGAAAAATCATTTTAATTGATTTGATACACGTTTGGACAACCACACCAGTTTAAATAATCTAAGAATATGATTGTAAAAAGGCATATTTTATATAAAAAAAAATACAAAATTCATTGTGGTTTCAGAACATTTATGACTTTCCCATATGAAAAACCTAATCTTAAAGTTTAACATACTTAAATTAAAGATTTCGTTTTAAAGGTAAAGACCATTAAAAGAAAAGGAAGAAAACCTCTTCAGATTATTATATTACTCTTAAGAAAACCTTACAGTTAAACCAGAGCTGTTACACATAGAGCAGAGATTGTGTCCTTCCCTTTGTTGGATTAAGCACAACTGCAGGGAGCGTCTTCCACCAGGTTCCTTTGCTCAAATGCCAGTAAACTTGCCATAAGCAAACATTATCTGGTTGACTGCAGTACGGCCCAAAGGTCTTGCTCTTTACCCAAAACACTGCACCCATCACTAAACTGTTGATGCACTCACACCAGAGAAGGTTTATGCTGATGTAGGCAGGTATCATGAATCCAAAGACTTGACAAAACGTAGTGACAGTAAGATAAGGCATCCAAAATGTACTGAAGCCCAGGATTAGACTGAACCACATAGGAGGTCTAGGCTCGGTTTTCTCTTCCGGATAAGCGCCCTCGATGCTTTTCGTCTCTGTAGAAGTGGTTTTGATGAAAAAGTTGCTCCGCTGGTTGTCATTTTCTTCTCGTAGTGCAGATAACATGTCAGCCTCTTCATTCCATTTGATTATGCTGGACCTGAATGGCACCATTATTAAAATAACCAAGATAAAAAGTCCTGAAAGGGAGTAGGTAACCAGGAAGGACTCTTGTACTTCACACGTGGAGGCCTCCACCCCTGTCTCATAAATCAGTACCATCTGCTCAGTGTTGGTGGTAAAAAAGGAATAAACACCAGCAAAAGTCCACAACAGCAATGCTAACACCGTATATATAAGGGATTTGCAGGACACTCTTCTTTTGCTGAGGCTGTTTGAGTCTACTAAGTAGTCCAACAGACCCACACACACAATGGGCACTGGCAGTGCTGCACACATAGTGGAAATATAAGCCATGAAGCCACACATTGTCACAGGAGACAGTTGAGGGCCGAGCAGCCACAGGGCTGACATTACCACCACCATCACTGAGTCGCTCAGGAGAATGAACAGGCTACACATGTTAAAAAAGGAAGCATGAAACCGACAGCAAAAGAAGTAAAAGACTGCTGTGTCCATTGCACTTTTAAAAAGCGTGATATATAGGAACTTGGCAGTGTTGTCTACATGACTGCCAGAGTTTGTGTCCCATTGTTCTATAACAGCAAGCATTTTGGCGGAATGTGGAATGTCCGGTAAAACTGGTATTTCCGTTGACATTTAGGCTTCTGTTGACCTGGGGTTATCAGAGAAGAGCTGTGAAAGAAAAAAAATCATCATATCAACATATGCATTTATTAAAAAAACACAGACAAGCATTTCAGATAAACCTGTCTAAAGTCTGACCTAAGGCCCAATTATTGCACTTGAACATAATTTTAAAATAATGTCCAAGTGCAACAGTGGCTCCCTGTTGAGAGTATGAGACAAACACGTTTTTGCCTTAGGATTCATCCTATTTAAATTTGTCCTGTGTAGATAGAGAACATAAAATTTTCTATCTACTGTAATTCTAATTCTAACTAGCAAGCCGTTCTGTCACCACCGTCTCTTCCACCCTGTTCTACTAGCACAAATTATTCACTTGGCAGCATGTTTTGCGACAAAATAGCATTTTTAGGCATTATTTTTTGCACTTTTTCAGGAAGGTAAGGCTATAGCCTTACCTGTTTTTGGTGATATTTTGAAATATTCAGATAAAATATTTTTTGGAGTTTTTAGCACCAATTATTCACTTGGCAGCATATTTTGTGACATAAACTTGCATTTTGAGGCATTTCTGGTATTTTTTGCACTTTTTCGAGAAGGTAAGGGGACTTTTTATTTTTAT